GCCGCGACGGTTCGCCCCGAGCCGGGGGCCAAGCGCAGCCCGCCCTGGGCAGAGGGCCGCGACGGCTCGCCCCGAGCCGGGGGCCGAGGGCAGCCTGCCCCGGGGGTCATAGTGAATTTATACACACACACACACACACAGTTGGATTCTATTGATAAATATGTTTTTAATCTAGCTGGTGAGCACATGTTTCACTGGATTCCATTTTAATATTTATTTGTCTTGGGTCTTTAAAAATATAAACAATAGGAATATGGATCTAATGCTGGTGTGATGACATCCTAGAGTTGCCTATGAACTTCAGGGTTCTTTAAGACCCAATTTGAAAATAATTGGTTTAGTGCTTTACCTGTATAAGGCCTATTGGTCCCTCTAAAACATGTTTCTCCTGACTAACAGAAGGGTGGACCACTAGAGTTACATGATGCTATAGGAGACGGGGCACTGACTATGGCTTGTTTTGAACCAAGTTGTTCCTTTTTCAGGAGTGTACCAACATGTAACTGGAGACATGATGGGAGGCCATGCCATCCGGATCCTGGGTTGGGGAACGGAGAATGGTGTCCCCTACTGGCTGGTTGCCAACTCTTGGAACGTTGACTGGGGTGACAATGGTAAGTGCAAGCTCCCTTCATGCTAAAGATGGATTAAGATTTTTCTAACACTTTCTAAGGCGTTTTAAGCCAGAACATAGTGAACATCTTGACCTCCCCTATTGTACCTAATGCACCACCTACAAGCTGTAGTCTACAGTTGAGCTGTGCTCTCTTATAGTAAGCTGAGGTCTCCTTTTGCTGGATTTGTTTTTTTCTAATCTTGAGAGTGGCATGGAACCAAGACACAATGTCACATAGCTTCTCTAGTACAATAGAACATACCTATACCAGCTAACACTACTTTCATGAAGGGTGTTTGGAGGTAGAATGGAACTAGTATCCATGTGGCTGCCTTGTCAGGTTGCTCAAGGTAGTCTTTTTTTTTTTCAAGGTAGTCTTAACGAGTGAATAGGAGATGCTAATGGAACTTGTGGGGATTGAGATTAGTTATTTACTCTCTAAGTTCTCTTAGGAATGAATCTGAGTATATTGACAAAGGTCAAATTCCAAGGCACACTTTAAAAGCACTTTTTTCTTTTCCAGGCTTCTTTAAAATCCTTAGAGGAGAGGATCACTGTGGAATTGAATCAGAAATTGTAGCTGGAATCCCACGCACTGACCAGTACTGGAAACGGATTTAATCAGCTGTGACCTCGTCCAGTTTGGGTTGGGGAATATGAAGGGATAGGTGGGGTGTCTTTTAATTTTTGAGTTCAGATAAGTGGTTTTAAACAGTGGCTGGTATGCTTCAGGACCTGAAGGATTGGATTGGGCTAAACTTTATATTTGCTGTTGGGAGTTGATCTTTTCTGGTGTAGACGGAGCTGCCTCCCAAGGAAGACAACCCCATGTCCTGACTACCTCCCAGCCTGTTCAGTGGACAGATCTTTACAACACAAACAGACCATATTAGCCACTGCTAAATGCACAGTGAGCCTTTCCCCATAGACTAGTGATGTATGTAGTGCCTGCTGCTCCAACTCCTGTTGCAGTGACCCTTTCCACCCTCCCCAACCAGCAGATCTCTGAGGAGCAAGACAGCAAGGACCTAAAGTGTTTCACTTCCCATTTTCCAAAGGAATGGAACGAATAATTCCTAATAGGATTTCAGTTTCCACATGTAAATAGTATCTCAAAGTAATTAGATTTCTAGGGTAAGTTGAGAGGCGAGATGGTGGGGCAGCCCTTCCAAGAAAGCCACATTCTTCCAGGGTCCCTATCTGTCACGTATCTACTGAGCTTTGAAATGTTGCAAACTTTCTCATCTAGCATGATTCCTTTTTAATAGAAATACTATTCTTAATGCACCTCAGCTAATCATGAGAATGAATAGTTCCAAGGTTGAAGAACTATGCTAGTTTTAGACTGTCCCACTGATGTGGTATAAAAGTGAGTAATCTTGACTTGACTGACCTCCCCTCTCGCCTCCCCCAAATAGTGTGGTGAAACCAGCTTTTGTCGTGTTGGTTTTTCTTTTCCAATCACTGCTTACCTATCAATTTAACAAAAGGAATAACTGTGCCAATAAAAGTTTTCTCCATCGAATTAAAGTTTGCTTCCTGGTGGTATCAGAAAGATCACTTGTATTAAAGGTAGCTATTCAGCTTTCTTCTCAAGAAGGAAGCATCTGGGAACCCTTGCAACTATTCCCAGAGAGGCCTCACCTGAACTGAGTAGAACAAATAGCCTAATTATAACTTCTCAGTGTCCCAAACATATTTTTAAAACCAATCAACTCTACCTCTAAAATTTAAAGAGCTAAGAACCTAATTGTGCTTTAGAAAATAAACAAAAACCACAGCCACAAATGAATAGCAGATCACCTGAGGATTCCGCTTGCAAAACCACTCCATAACCAAGATGCCATTCTACTCGAGGACCAGACTTCCCTCCGGCTCGCAGCTCTTCCTTCAGGAGCCAGAGCCTATTAAGATACGTCATTAAGGCTAGCTGTTTCCACAAGCAAGTTTTTACTTTGTACATGATTCACAAGTTAGGAATCAGAAGTAAGGAATAAGTTCTAAAAGCCTGGTGAACATTTGCAGGGGGAGGAAAATTAGGAAACTCATCTTTTAAATAAATTCCAACCTGTAGACGGGAAAAGCCCTCTGGACCCCATCCCACAATAATACATGGGGTTGCCATGAGTCAGAATTGGCATAAGAGCAGTCAGTTTGGTTTCATTTAGGAGCTTGTTTGAAAATACGGAATCTTGGCTCATATTCCAGGTGACTAGTATGTATTTTAAAGTAAAGCAATGATTCTCAGACTGGTTTGTTAGAACCCAGAACACTGAATTATCCTTACACAAAATCTATACCTAGACCAAGAAGTTGTGCAGACTGAGCAAGGGAACACTGCATGGTTTAAAACTAAGAAAGATGTGTGTGAGAACTGTATCCTTTCTCCATACTTACCCATTTCTGTATGCTGAGCAAATCATTTGAGAAGCTGGACTCTATGAAGGAGAATGTGACATCAAGATTGGAGGAAGACAACAACCTGCACAACCTTGCTTGCTCAAAGTGAAGATTTGGCACTTCCTGCAGAAGATCAAGGACTACAGCCTTCAATATGAATTACATCTCAACATCTAGAGAACTGAAACCTCACCACTGGGCCATAATGTTGATTGGTTGGTGAGTGCTGTCGAGTTGGAACCAACTCCTAGCTGGCCCTCTTGTGGGTTTCAGAGGCCGTATATAGCACGAGAGATTGCTCATCCTCCCACAGAGCAGTGGGTGATTTCAAACTGTGTACCTTTGGGGATTGTAGGGCAACTTCTTACCAGTAACTTACTGAACATCGTGATAAATGGAGAAAAGATTGAACTTGTAAATGATTTCATCTTATGTGGGTCCAGAGTCAGCACCCTTAGTCAAGAAATCAAGAGCCATATAGCATTGGAAATCTCTCAAGGACCTTCAATGTACTGTAGGGCAATGATGTCAGTTTAAAAGTGCACCCGATTCAAGCCATGGTTTTTCTAATCACTGACTTGGCATCTGAGAGCCAGATGAAGAATTGATGTTTTTAAGTTGTGTTGGAGAAGGTGCAATCAGAGTGTTCCTTGTAGGTAAAGATGCCAAAGCTTTGTCTCACATACTTTGAGCATATGTTAGGAGAGGCTATTAGAAAGGGACATGCTTGGAAAGGTGGAGAATAAGCCTCAATGAGATGGATTACCAGTGACTTAATTAATGGGCTCAAGTGTATCAGAGATGTTTTGCATTACCTGCAACTCAGTGACCCCATGTACAAGAGTTCTGAACCCTGCCCTATCCTGAGCTAATCTCACTGACTCTTAACATACCTAATCCCTTTGCACCAATTATCATGTCAGTCCATCTCAGCCAAGGTCGTCTTCTGCACTGTCCCTCCACCCTCCCAAGCATGATGTCCTTCTCCAAGGGACCGTTCCTCATGGCTACATGCCCAAAGTATGTGAGATGGAGCTTGAAAGTCCTAGCCTCCAAGGAGAAACTTGGTTTCACCTTCTCCAACATAAACCTATTTGTTTGCTTGGCAGTCCATGGTATGTTCAAGACTCTTCTGTAGCACCACAACTCAGAAAGTCATCAATTCTGCTATCCTTAATCATGGTCCAACTTCTCTGATGCTTAGCAAGTAATTGTGAAGACCATGGCCTGGGTCAGGCATTCCTTAGTAGTCTCTAGACTGGCATCGTTGCTTCTCAGTACTCCGGAAAGGTCCCTGGCAGCAGATTTACCTAATACAAGTCATCTCTTGATTTCCTGGCTGATAGAACCAAGAGTGTTGATTGTGGAGCCAAGAAAATAAAGCTCTTTACACTCTCAATCTCCTCTCCACCCGTCATGGTGCTGCCAATCGACCCAGTAGTGAGAATCTTTGTCTTCTTGAGAGACCAGCAGCAGCACAACACACTAGGCATCACAAAAGTGAACTAAGACCTAAGCCATATCAAGGATTGGATAGGGGGTGGGTGGGAGTGGAAGGGGATGTTGGTGGAGTGGGTAAAAGGGGTGTTCAAGACACCTGCCAAGGGCAAGGGCGTGACACTGAATCTATTGGTTCAGCTTTTTGTAAAATGCTTGTCAGATACTGTTTTAAAGCCGAGCATTCCAGTTAAGACTAGGAAGAAAGATTGGCTGTCCACTTCTAAAATAACAGGCCTCTGAAAACCGTATGTACAATAGAGCATAGATGGTTATACCACTTCTAGAAGCACCTCATCAGTAAACTTGGTAAGCTGTTTTCAGGCCATAGCCTTGCTGAGTCAGAACTAAATGATAACCAGCTATGGAGTCTGGGTAGATTTCTGCAAGCCATCAAGGTGATACAGATAGAGTTTGAACTTCCAAAAAATCCAGCCTTAATTATCATTTACATGACCCTACACTATAGGACAATAACTGCCTTACAGGGTTTCCGAAACAGTAATGAGACTATCTTTTGGAGAACAGCTAGTGGATTTGAATGGCTGGCCTTTTGGTTATCAGACAAGCTCTACTAAATTAAGTTTCTAGTTGCCCCAGACCCTTACTTGAAGGATGTGGAGGGAACAGAGTTTAAGGTTTAGAAAATAAAATAGGGGATGCTCAGTTAAGTTTCACTAAGTAATCTCAGTATATGTTTTGTGCAGTATTTAGGACATGTATAAACTTTTAAAAGCTGTTGCTTATCCAAAATTAAAATTTGATTTGCACCCTCTATGGCAACCCAGGTAGAGAATACAGGGAAAACATTGTTCAAACAGTGTGAGAACAAAAGTGGAAACCTTTTGCCCAAGCCAGTACAACTTAGCTTTATGAGAAAGGGGACTGAAGAGATCACAGTCCAAACAGAAGGTCCCACAGGTCATAACTAAGAACCTGTCCTCCATTCAGTGCATTCAGTTCCAACCTAGGCTGTTAATACCATGTTGTAATGCATGACAAGTGAACTTTAATCTACCCTTAGACTCAAGTACACTACCTTGAAATGACAAACCATCTCAGTGGAATATTACATTCAAAATAACGGTGATGTATTTGCCTAGGACCTTTCAAATGAACTCTGTCTCTGTGTACCCAAACTAAGGCAACTATTTTATTTCTTTTAAATAAAATTTTTATTATATATAGGTTTACTTACAAAGTTCATCTATTGTTTTTCATACAGGATCTTTCCAGTTTCCTTTACCCACTCCTCTCTCCACCCATCAAATTGTATGACCCAATGATAACCATCACCCATCTCACCTCTTTACTCTTGTCTCCCCTTCCTTGGATCCTCATACATATTCTACAGTGATCGTCTTTAGACTACAGTATTTGTCCTTATGGGACGGAGTTGACTTAGCTTCCCAAGTTAGGTAGTAATTTATAAAATCTTCACTCCGGAATGCTGTGTAGTATTCCATCGTGTGACTGTACCATACATACTTTCTCTTTTTTTTTTTTTTTTTACCATACATACTTTCTCAATCCATTCCACTATGGTTGGACATTTGGGCTGTTTCCATGTTCTTGTGATGGTGAATAATGTTGCTATGAACATTGGTGTACAAGTCTCTGTTCATGCCTCAGTTCTTTTGCTCGGGGTATATTGCAAACAGTGGAACGGCAGGGTCATATGGAATTTCTATGTTCAGCTTTCTGAGAAAACACCAAACTGCCTTCCACAGTGATTGTACCATTTTACAATCCCACCAACAATGTATAAAAGTTCCTTTCTTGCCACATCCTCTCCAGCATTTATCGCTTGCTCTCCTGTTAAACTTTGCCACTGCTACTGGAGCAAGATGATATCATTGGGTTTTGATTTGCATCTCTCTTATTGCCAGTGATTTGGAGCATTTATGTGTCTGTTGGCCATCCGAATATCTTCCTTTGTGAAGTCTTTCCATATCCAGGAGTATTCTGTAAACTTTTGATGAGACTCCTGTCTGAAAGGTTTTTTCCCACTCAGGTTTTCTTTGCACTCTGTTGGAAAAAGTTGATGTGCATAGGGATTTAATCTTTAGAAGGTCCCATTTATCAGTATTATCCTCTCAATTGTGCATTTCTGGCTGTACTTGGCAGTCTCTTTATACATACCGCAGACTAGGCTTTCTAAGCTTCATCCCAGTTTGTCTCTAGTGAATTTTATGGTTTTGGGCTTTACTCCCAAGTCTTGATTTGTTGATTTTTAGAGTATGGTGTGAGATGGGGATCCTGTTTCAGCTTACTGCAGGTAGCAGCCACTTTTATCAGCAGCACCATTAATGTTGAAGAGGTTGTCATTTCTCTATCTGATAGGTTTTATTTCCTTGTTGAATAGCTGGGTCCATTTCTGGGTTCTCAGTTCTGTTCAATTAGTCTATGTAAGGCAACTGTCTTAAAGCAAGTTAGGAGTTGTACAAGGAAAAGATGTTGAATTTTGCTCCTGTGTGAGGTTCCAGCAGAAATTCCAGACTAAGGCTCAGTGTTTTGTTCTGTGGTTCAAGAGGTGGCCATGAACCAGGGCCAACTTAATGGCAGCTAACAAATATTATGATGCAACTCTAGCACCAACCCCTAGAAAAACTCAAATCCGTTTCAACTGATGGTACTCAGCAACATATGTGTACACCTAAATAGACAACTCCAACATTAATGGTTTTTCTAGAAACTATAAAGTTTTAATGATTAAAGGCTGTGATTTGCTACTTGATATATTTTCATACATCCCCGACAGGCCATTCTTTCCCCATGCCCAAGCTGAGGGTCTTCATGAGCTACTATTAGTGAAAGGTTATCAAATATAATTTATGCTGAGGTAAAAAGGCAGCTGAAGCCATAGCAACAGAGAATTAGGATAAATACCATTTAGCTTTTCAGCCAATCACCTAAAACAATCTCATGATGTTTTTGCGACTTCAATATATAAACTGGTAATATAAGGGGAAAAGAGAAGAAAAAAAAGTTCTGGTTACTGTTGAACTTAAGAGAATTAGGCAAAAGCTAGGGTTATGATGCTAGACCTGATGATGCAGGTTATAAGCAACAGCAGTAGAGGCAATGCTGCCAGCATCCGGCTTCAGGTGCCCATCAGCTGGGATCCTCGCTGCTGCTCCTCTAACCAGCTGTGCACATGACCCAATTACCACCCTTTATCAATCAAGAACTCCATACTTCTCTTCCATGTCTCCTGATAATACCAGCTTTTAATTGAGCTGTGCTGCACAAAAGGAGCTCTGGTGGTGTGGTGTTCTGCTAACCCAAAGACTACACTTCTCTGGAAGTTCAAATCCATCAGAAGCGGCTAAGGAAAAAAGATGAGCAATCTCCTCCCGTCTGATTTATCACTTCTGAAAACCTGCTAGAGGGTCAGCTATGAGTCACTTCTGACTCAACTGCAATTAGTTAGCACTGCACAAATGCACAATAATTTAGTTTTTTATTATAAAAATCTTCTCAAAACATCACCCTTTACTGAAGACCATCTTCTCAAAATGAGGCTAAGAGCAGTCCTGCGATTCCTTCTGAAAGCTAAATCCCAATTAAGAGAGACTACAACACTAAAATACCCAGAATTTCACTGTTAGCTTTCAGGAGCAGAAAATAAGTCTCCATTCTTGGAAACATGTGAATTATTACAACAGACATTCAGATCTACTACATACAAAACAGGAGAAACAAAGTGCTTAGAAAAATAAAAGCAAAAAAACCCTCACTTAATTTCTCAGAAAGATAGGTATTCAAAGGTTGTTTCAAATGAAATATTTTTAATTATCATTCACACTACAGAAAATCTCCTGACAGTCCCATTGCAACCATTTAACTAAACTGTGGCAATGAATGTTTTGCTGTCAGCCACCAGCTAACAAGCAAAGATAACCACTGCCCAGAAGTACTAAGTTGCTGAGGGTAATGAATCCTTCCCTTTCATCTTTACATTCTTGTCAATAGCACTTCTGTTGAGAAAGGTCAAAGCCACAGTTTTTAGGGATTAAAACATTAGGGGAAAACAGAAGTCAATATCCATTCTTGAAGAAAAGGTTAAATCCATTTCACCATGGACTTCAGCTTCCAAATTCCAGGTTAATGCTCTCCCGTCTGCACATAGTCTTCCGTGACCTGGGACAGGGTGCTCAGGTACTGCCAGCTTAGGGCAGCCAAGAGCATGGCAAAGGACAGATAAATGGGAGAGTAGTGGCTTCGGGAGATCAGCTGACAATTGGGAAGGTTCTGTGTCCTGACGGTGGAGATGATCTGCCTTGTTCTACTAGAAGATGGGTCTGAGTTGGGGATTCTTTGATATATCTGTTAAAGAAAGAAAGAGGAAAAAAAACAACAACCCAGTAAGAACTTTGTATTTTAGGAACATTTTTCTTGTTTCTAAAAATGTAGGTATTTTGATGTTCATTTTACCAATGAGGAAATTGAAGTTCAGAAATGGTTCAAGTAAGTAACCAAGGACCACTCCACAAATAAGGCAGGGATCAAAACTCTGATTGTCAAACCACAAAGCCCATCCTTGCAAGCACGCAAGCAAGCAAGCCAGGAGCCATGAAAGTGCATGCTGCACTCAGAATTGTGGAGAACCTTAGGAGTGGTGAGTTATCTCTGACACCTAACAGTGTCAGGCATATAGCAGAAACTCAGTAAATGTTAGAATAGTTTAAGCTGAAATAGAATAACATTGAGAATGTGAAAAAATACAGAAGGTAAGACTAGGTAAAAGTAGTTTAGAAAAACAAGATAAAATATGTAGCATGAGGACTGGGCTAGATAAGGGGCACGAAAGGCAGAAGCAGGGAGTCATTTAGATTCTCTCTGAACTCCCATACTTCCCTACCACCACTCTTCCACAAACCTAAATATTGCTAATTCATCATCTTCATACCCCAAAAGTTACCATTTGGCCCTTAGTACCTTTCATCCAAACTAACCCAATCTTCAAGCTAAGTTCCTGACTCTATTCCTGGACTTGAAAAATCTAATCATCGATTCTCCATACCAGCACCAGAGAGCTGAAGCCTATTAAATATCTTCAGTGGCTCCTATCACCGATAAAGGTTGAGCTCCACAATGTGGAACACAAAGCCCTTATGACCTAAACTCACTCAGTGCACATCCTCCAGCTTTATCTGGCACTGCCAACTCTAACAAGCTGCCTAGAGATGCTATTTATAGGTATATGATGCCATTTAACAGTTCTATACCTTTCTTTGTTTACATCACTCCAGCAGCCTAGAATGTTCCTCTCGTTAATTTTCTAATCTGTTTAACTTTTACCTATACCTCCAATTCTCAGGTACTCCAAATCTTAGGTACTGTCTCTTCAGCCTGAACATTTAGGTTGAACCAAGCTCCATTCTCCTGTTCACACCTTATCACTAACTAATACAGAAATTATTTGTATGTCTCCCTACCTGGACTCAAGTTTCAAAAGCACTCAGCCTTATTCTTAATTTTTCCTCTTATTTTGAGCCTAGAACTGCACTTGGCACAGTTCTATTCACAGTAAACATTCAATAAATGTTTACTGAACTGATGTGGTAAACCAGTTAAGAGGTTATTTGGGTTGGGTAGTGATGGAAGCAAAAAGGATAAAGACAGAGCAGACATTCTGTAAATAAGTTCCATCAGATAATGTGTATTAAGTGCACAAATATTTTATTCTTGCCCACTCACTTTAAAAAAAATCTTTACAACAAGGAGACTTAAAAAACTGCAAAATACTATGTCTATAGTATTATGATAATTATAACTAATATTATGCTACAAGAGCTAGCTCTAAAGAGAAAAACAGAGATGATCAACCTATAATTTCTCCTTTCAATTTTTAAGATTTAGAGAACAAAATTATGCTTATAAAAACTAGTGATACAAAAAAATCAAAAGTAAAAATTCTCTAACATTACTAAAACTCCTTTTAGATCTCTGGTTATGTCTATACACATGTACAAGCATAAAATATCACATAGATGAGTGTACACACACCCACACCCACCCCCCAAACTCAATTGTTATCAAGTTGAATCCAACTCACAGCAACCCTGTAAGACAGAGCAGAACAGCCTTCAGAGGCTGGCCAGGCTATAATCTTGACAGAAGTCCACTGTCATACTCTTCTGCCATAAATAGCAATGGTTTCCAACCAACTTTTCGTTTAGCTGCTGAATGCTTTATCCACTGTGCTAGCAGGCTCCTGTATTATATGTCGTCACATGTAAACAGTAAGTTTCTTTTTATACACTATTCTTTTGAAAGTAGATTATAAACCAACTCAGCAATTTTACCTTTATGACTCAATTTTTATCAGTATTTCCTAATATCAAAAACCTATAAAACATATTTTTGCAAACACAAACTGCCTAATATAAATGTACTATAATAAATCCCTTACCAACCAAGACTGAAGAGAAAAATGCTACAAAATAAGCATTCTTGCACATTTTATGATAATTTCTGCAGGAAACTGCTGAGTTGTAGACAACATTTGGATAGATACAAAACAACGTATGACCAAGAACACAGAGACTGCTTATTCCAGGGGGTTAAGAAATAAGCATACAAAAATTCAGATCTATTCACATTATCTGGATCCCTTCAGAAGGTGGATAATGTCATTAATTACACAAACTAACCAAAGAAAGAAGAGGGATAATTTCACTTTGATTTGGGGGAACAATGAGTAGGGACCCTGATGATAAATCAAATTTGAAGTGCGTATTGGACAATCTAGCAGAACTGCCTGGATGCCACAGAAACATGAAGCTAGAGTTTAAGGTCAATGTCTAGAATGAATAATGTGATGAACACATGGTGAAGGTAGAAGACCTGAACTTTATGTTCACAGAATCATATCGGAATCTTGTTAATATGCAGGTTCTGATTCAACAGGATGGGTAGGAGAAAAGATTCTAGAATGCACACCCATGTTTATCGCAGCTTTGTTCACAACAGCAAAGAGTTGGAAGCAAGCTAAGGGCCCATCAACAAACGAATGGATAGAGAAGCTGTGGTATGTCCACACAATGGAATACTACGCAGCATTGAAAAGCAAGGAACTCATGCAATATTATTCAAAATGGGTGAGCCTGGAGGACATTATGCTGATTGAATTATCTCAGTCACAAAGGGGCAAATACTGCATGATGCCACTGTTGTAGAATGGGTCCGACATCAGGGTGGGGGTATGACAGAAAAAACTGGATAAATTATGTATATTGTATTGAAACAGATGAGGGAAAGAACAGATTAGAGGTGATATAAGATTATTATGGTTAGCACAGGAATCCAGAATTAAGGTTGCGTAGAGAAGTGTACTCGGGGTTGGGGGTTGGGGGTAAGGGATGGGGGAATTGTATACTAATGAAGGAATTTGTTTTTTCCCTTTTTCTTTTCGGAGAGGGGAGCAAACTGGTGGGGAGGGGTGGGCAGGGAGAAAAGTGCAGCAATGAATGAATGGAAATCCAAAATATCTGTAAATGGCTATTAAAATTAATTAAAAAGGGGGAAAAGAAAAAAAAAGATTCTAGAGTGCTAACAAGCTCTCTAGTGCTATTCTATGCTGCTGATTCAGTCCCTACTCTGACAGACAAGGAAAGGTAAGGTGTGAAGAGCACAGCAATGATTTATTTAGATTAACTGTCTTTGAGAGCCAAATAGGAAGCATGTCAGGGACATGAAAAAAAAAAAAAAAGACTGCCATTGCCAAGGAATGAACTTTAGCAGAGAGGAGAATAAATGTTTCTGGCTGTTTGCCTGAGTGTTTATTTATATCCCAAAACAGCTGGTTAATGTTCTCACAGCTGGCAGGATTCCAGACTGGTTTGGGGCTAAGAGCCCTGAGGTACAGAATCCACTTGCTCAGCAGGATTTGGGGCTTCCCTACAACTTTTCTCTTAAACACTGGAGTTGCATGAGTAGGTCATCTTTAAGTCCAGGTGCATTACAGTTACAACCTGAAAAAGCAAAGATCTGAGAGAATAAATATGTCTTTTCTCATCGCAAAAGAGCCATCTGGCCAGTGAGAAGTCAGTGTTAATACTGAGACACTAGCAACAAGCCAAACCACTCCTGGACTTTAAAACTGTTGGAAGAATGTTGCAGTTTCCCTAGCCCTGATCTCTCCTTGAAGAAACCTGATGATGTCTAAGGCGACCAGAGCAGAGACCAGACCAGACACTGTCTCGTGGTAAGGCTCTGGGCCTGATCACAAAGCCCACACCCAAGTTAATTAGCAGGACTCCCACTCCAAAGTCCAAGCACAATAGCATAGTTCTCCTTAGAAACCCTGTAAAAAGAAAACGCCTTTGACTGCCCTTGTGCCATTTTGACCTTGTCCGCGTGGGGAGTCACTTGGCATCTCTCTCCAACCACACTACAAAGGCCTGTTCATTTCTTGGGATCAGCTTCTTTCTTTCTCTCTTGCCCTCAACTAAAAAAAAATCAGTCATTGCTTGAGATTTAGAACAGTAAGGATTAAATATTTATGAAAGAAATCTTCAAAATTAAATCAACTTACTTACTTGGGTTTGACTATCTATCTAGTTCCATTAAATCTGTTCCATTAGTAACCAACTGCCCCTCCCCGCTCCAATCTTTACAGAAGACTACCTCTTTGTGGAGAAACTGGAACCCTTATTCACTGTTGGTGGGAATGTAAAATGGTGTAATAACTATGGAAGGCAGCGTGGTGCTTTCTCAAAAAGTTGCAATAGAAATCATTTTACCCAGCAATTCCACTACTGGGAATATAATCCAAGGAAACCAGAATCACCACCCAAGCAGACATATGCACACCCATGTTGATCACGGCTTTGTTCACAATAGAAAAGAGCTGGAAATAACTCAAGTGCCCATCAACAAACGAATGGATAGAGAAGCTGTGGTATATTCACACAATGGAATACTACGCAGCATTGAAAAACAAGGAACTCAAGCAATATTATACAAAATGGATGACCCTGGATGACATTATGCTGAGTGAAATATCTCAGTCACAAAATGACAAACTTTGCATAGAGCCAGTGTTGTAAAATGGGGCTGACATTGAGGGTGGGGGGAACCTAAGAAAAAGGAATAAATAATGTATACTATATTGAAACAGGTAAGTGGAGAACTGTTTAAAAGGAATTGTGTGTTGTTAAGTGTCACTGAGTCATAGGCGACTCATAGCAAAGCTATGAACGAAAGACCTAAACAACTTGTATAACTTTCATCCTTTCTCCACATTCATAGGATTTCCAGAGAAAAGCTGTTCTGGAAGTGGATGCCACTCCTGCTTCCAAGCTTGTTTTAACCCGGAAGCTCCAGCAAACACTGTCCACCATGGGTAACCATTCTCACATTTGACACATCAGAGGCACAGTGCTCAGCTTCACAACAATCGCGAGTTACCTCTGTACAGACCAGGGCTAAGCGACCTAGAGGAATGTTTGACCAAAAACAATGAAAAACAAGCCTGAGGGCCTAAAGTCATCACCTTTGGCTTGGTAGCATCACTTTCTGTCCAGTAGGTCAACTGAGCTCTCTATGTTGTTGTCATTAAGTGCCAACAAGTCGTAGGCGGCTCATAGCAACCCTATGAATGAAAGACCTGAACACCTTTCTCCAAGTTCACAGGGTTTCCAGAGGCAAGCTATTTCAGAAGTGGATGCCACTCTTGCTTCAGATTAGGTATTATTTTCATGACAAGATTCCAGAAAAAGTAATACGTAGTAAAGTGGACTATGGACTTACTTGGTGGGGCAGGGGATTGTATAACAATGAAAGAATTTTTTTTTTTTTCCAAAGAGAAAAGCAAACTGGTGGGGAGAGGGGTGGGCAGGGAGGAAAATGTGTAACAATGAATGAGGAAAAAAAATTAAATGGAAAGAATATGTCGTAAAAAGTATTTTTTTTAATAAAAAGACTACCTCTTTCTCTTACAGATTAGTTGATAGATCAGCTGATAGCAGCCCAATATACTATAATCCTTTGAGTCTTATCAGTGACTTTAAACAAAATAACAGATGCTTTAAATCAGGTCTGAAAAGGTTTTTTTAAAAGGTAAAAACATATTTTTAGCTTTCTAAGTTATCTGGTGTTGGAACTATTCAACTGGGTCACTGTAGTATATAGAAAGCAGCTAGAGCCATAAACAAATGAAACTGTATTTACAAAACAGGTAGGCAGACATAATTTGCCGGTCTCTAACCTAGTAGTGATTTACAGCATTTAATTCCACTAACTAAATAAAATTTAAGTTCAGTAAACTAGCATAAATATTTCCTCAAAATTTTAAAGACTAATTTATAAAATAACCATTAGTTTAAAACCGAATAATATCTGAATTATATACCACACAAAATATGAGTCTAATTTATATAAAGTGAATGAACTGTGCCTAATCTGGTATGACTGTATTTAGTTTAGAGATTCATACCAGATCAATTCTTTGCTGAGATTTTACATTTCCACCCTAGATACACTAAACCAAAACTTAAATTTCAACAAGAGCCTGGAGATTCTCTTAGAATCACCTGGGGATCTTTTTAAACCATAAAACAAGTCGGATTTACCAATCCAACAGCCACTCAGGAGTTCAACTTTCAGACAAACAACAGCCAAGTCTATGAGGGGACCAGGGAGGTACTCACTTCTTTGTTGCTGTTGGGTCATGTCAAGTCAGAACCAACTCATAGCTGATCCTCAAGTGGATTTTCAGAGGCATTTAATCAAAGGGAATTAATCAACCATCATAAACAAACTATGGTATAAATATTCTATAAAACTATCATTAGAAAAAGCTAAAGAAATATTTACACAAAGAATCATTCTTGGTTACCAGGGATGCAAAGAGAGACAGAGTAAAATGTAAACAGATAATAGACACACATTAAGATGAGTGACGGAAAATGAATGACACAATAAAAGGAATGAGCAGTACAGTACCATTAAAGAAAGAGCATACAGAGAGTAATAGAAGGGTTAACAGAAATCAGAATTATAGGCAGGAAGCAGGGAAAATGCAGTTTCATTGAGGATACCTTAAGTTACTATTAAAGAATAAAATGTGTATGATTGGAAAAAGAGAGCCCTTGACTATCTTTAATGTGCCCAAGGATCAAGCCCTGAAAGTAGGAAGGAGTAAGGTAGAAGGGTTAATGGAAATGAGAATGACAAGGCAGAAGCATGAAAGTGTGATTACACTGTAGGTATTGTAATTAATGTTAGAGAACAAAACTGTGTAGAAATGGGTGAATGGAAGTTTGCTTCCAAACCTTTCATTCAAATCCCAATCTTTTTTAAATTTTATGATTTAAAAATATTTGGTATTTTGCCTTTGGTAGAAATGCTATTGTTAATACTTACCATATAAAAGAAAATTAGTACAAGGAGATAAAGAATCCGAAGATGAAATCATTACTACAAATTCCTATAAATGGACAACCAAGAAACTAGAAGGGGATCTAAAACTGACAATGATAAGCTCGGGTGATACAAGGTAGGATTCATGGCAGTGCTTTCTTTTTCTACAAACTCCTATGGCAGTCCAGTTAACAGTGAGACCATGCCTAATGAGCCCAAGAGCAACCCTGCCTTCTACCCACTGTTTCTATTATGTGCTATGGAGTCACAATTAACTCATAGCTAACCCTCCAGGGAGTTTTTCCAAGGCAGAGAACTGAACAGGAGACTGCCCATCTTTCTCCAAAGAGCAGCTGGTGGATTCAAATCAAGAGCCTTTGGGTTGGCAGCACAACTCCTTCTCACGAAGTCACCAAAGCTCCTTACCACTGGGAACTAATAAAAAATCCCTACCCGGTTAGGAAAACCCATTCTCCACATATTGTCAAATGCCCCGCCCACTGCAGTCCAGTCATCCCCAACAACTAACAGCCTCTATAGGATTCCTAGGCTGCTCGTAAATCTTTACAGGCAGAAACTGCCCATCTATCTCCCAAGATGCAACTGTTAGATTCTAATAACTTATCTTTCAGTTAATAGAAGAGCTCCTTCCAAATATCCTAAGAAAGGGTAAAATGCTCTCCACTTGAGAAGCAATACTCTAGAGGCCAGAGACTCTAGGACCAGAACAAATTCTAAGAAGTGCTCTAAGTGCTTTTGACTTTAATCATATACCTTATGCTCCAATGTTGTAGATCTGTCTTGAGCATGTATATTTTGTTCGGAAATGATTTTAGAATGTAAGATATGAAGAAACAAAGTCAGAAATAATGGCAACTGGGTGGCTTCTCTTCTTGTGGTTTCTTCCATGGAGTTCTGTGATATAAAGGACCATAATGGACTGGGCATCAGGAAATGTGCACTGGAGGCCTTGTTGTTAGGTGCTGTCAAGTCAAGTACGACTCATAGTGACCCTAAGAACAAAAGATCTGAACTGTTTTATCCTGCACCATCCTCACACTTCTGACACACAAGAGGCCACTGCAGTAGTCTGTGTCTATCCTGCTGGTTGAGGGTCTTACTCTCCTTCGCTGACCCTCCACCCTTCCTAGCAGCATGTCATTCTCCAAGGAATAGCACTTCTTACGCAAGATGTCCAAAGTGAAGTCTCATCATTCTTGCCTCGAAAAAGCACTCCAGCTCCACCCTCTCCAAGACATAGCTGTTTGTTCTCCTGGCCATCCTTGGGATGTTCAGTGCTCTTCTCCAACAACACAACTCAAAGTGTCTATTATTTTTCTCTCATCCTTATTCACTGTTCAGGTCTCAAATGCATAGCAAGTAAGAGGAAAGACGATAGCCTTAATCAGACATATCTCAGTCTTCAAACTAACAGCACTACTCCTCATTAGTGAAGTAGTAATGGAAAGGTCCCTAACTGAAGATTTTCCCAGTGTAATGCGTCTCATTTCCTGACTGCTGGTACCCAGGGTGCTAATTGTGGATCCAAGCAAGATGAAGTTTCAATCATCCATCATGATGCTGCCTATAGTTCCAGTGGTATCTCTATTTTCCTGACACTGAGATACAATCCATATGGAAGGCTGCATTCCTTAATCTTCTGCAACAAGTGCTTCAAGTCCTCCTCACTTTCACCAACAAGGCTGTGACATTTGAATAACAAAGGTTATTGATGTGTCTCCCTCCCATCTTGATGTCACGCTCCTACTTACAGAGTCCAGCTTCTCAGCATAATTTGCTCAGACTGAATAGCTATGGAGACTACAACCCTGATGAACTCCCTTCCCAATTCCAAACCATGCAGTGTTCCCCTGCTCCATTTGCACAACAGCCTCCTGGTCCCGATATGTAAATTCCTCATGAGCACAATCAAGTACTCTGGAAAGCCTAGATCTAGTTAAGTCATTCATGGGAGCATACACAGCCTCAATTTCACATTTCTCATGTCAAACAGTAAGCCCAGGTGGCTTCTAACACGATATTCTAGTGCCCAAAGAATAGAATTCTAATAAGAATTCCTACCCTGTTGCTCTTGTGCCACTGAGTCAACTACAACTCACAGTGACCCTTTGAACAACAGATCTGATCCTTGCCCTATCCTCAAGATCTCTGATATGCTTGTGCCCACTGTCCATCCTGTATCGTTAATTCTATCCTTTCATCAGGGTACTATGCATCCCTGAACAAAAGTTTCTTTGTGCCTCAATTTTCTTCTAATAAAGCATACAAAATTCCTGCCTCTTTATGCCACAGTAAATTGCTAGAATCAATGACAATCCAAATATGAAATGTTTAAATATTGACGTTATTGAAACCAGATAAAATGGCTATAAATTTTCCAAGGCAGTTAACTAAAAACTCACCTCCTCCATATACTGGTAGATTATAGCCTTGACAGCTGACATATTGGTAGCATCCATCATTAGTGTCACGGCTTGCCCTTTTCGAATCTTCACGACACCTTTGAATACCTGCTGATTATTATAACAAGCAGCCAAGGTAGCAATGGCCATTACCTAAAATATCAAGGAGGGAAGAAGGAAATTCACTTCATTTATTTAAAAAAAAAAAAAAGAACCTGTAAGCAATTACCATGATAAAATGGTAGAATGAGAAATTATCAGAGCTAAGACATAACAAATCCAGAAGATAAATAAGTGACCATGAAAAAGCAGGTCAAGGAGATCCGGTGGCCTAGTGGCAAGAAGCTGCATTGCAATCCCAGAGGTATGCAGTTCGAATCCGCCAGATGCTCTGCTGGAGAAGGAGGAGGAATCTCCTCCTGTACCAGTCAGATCTGATTTGACGGTACACACACAAAAAAGATAAAAATTTCTGGCGAGCTCTGGTGGCCTAGTGGCAAGAAGCTGCACTGCAATCTCAGAGGTACATGGTTCAAATCCACCAGACGCTAAGCTGGAGAAGGAGGAACAATCTCCTCCTGTATAAGTCAGATCTGATTTGACGGTACACACAAAAAATAACGAAATAAAATTTAAAAAAAAATAAAATAAAAAATTTTAAAAAATTTAAAAGACAAAAAAAGCATGTCAGGTATCTTTCCTACTTCCCCTTTTCTCCACAACAAATGGAATTAAGTCATGCTTTCCCCTCTCTAATTTAGTCACAAAAGTTCCATTTTATGGAAAAACAGACAAATCCAGTATTTTCCATGCTAGACTAGGGAGGACAGAAGGAGAGTGGATGCTTTTGAGCTGTGGTGCTGGAGAAGGGTACTGAATGTACCATAGACTGCCAGGAAAACAAACAGATTCATCTTGGAGAGGATTAAACCAAGCTGCTCCTTGGAGGCAAGGATTCTGGGGCTTCATGACATACTTTGGACATGTTGCCAGGAGGGACGGGTCCTTGGAGAGGGACATCATGCTTGGGAGAGTGGAGGGACAGCGCAGGAGGGGAAGACCCTCTATGAGATGGATTGATTCGGTGACTGGGGTAATCGGGATGGGTGTGTCAGAGGCGGTGCGCTTGGCGCAGGATAGAGCAGGGTTTAGACCTGTTGTGCATAGGGTCGCTATGAGTTGGAAACGACTCGATGGCACATAACAACAACAACAGACCAATGTATTACTCAAATCTCAAACTCATTGTCATGGAGTTGCAAGTGACTCATAACTGACCCTTCAGTAGGTTTTCAGATGCTGTAAAACATACAAGAGGAGACTGCCCATCTTTCTCTCAAAAACCAGCTGAAGGATTCAAACTTCCACAGGCCCATCTCTGGATCAGCAGTACAAGTCTCTAAGACTATACCCTCAAATATGTTATACTTTAAAATAATATATGTGAAGAGCTTTTTATTTTAATTTTTTCTATAATGAGTATAATGACTTATTTTAAAAAAAATAACACAGGGCAGAAAAAGTTCAGTAAAGGAGGAGAGTATATTCTGTATATATACATAACTTATTTCTAAGGTTACACAGAATCTCTAAGATATTGTTGTCCTGTGCGGTTGAGTCTCTTACGACTCATAGCAACCCTATGTACAACAGCCCTAAACCCTGCTCTGTCCTGTGCCAATCGCACTGCCTCTGACACACCCATCCCGATTACCCCAGTCGCTGAATCAATCCACCTCATGGAGGGTCTTCCCCTCCTGTGCTGTCCCTCTACTCTACCCAGCATGATGTCCCTCTCCAAGGACTGGTCCTTACATGTCCAAAGTATGTCAGATGAAGCCCCAGGACCTCTAAGATAGATCATAAAAAATTTTCATTCCTATCACCATTCAAATCTGGCCATTAGAACAAGATTAAATCAAGATTCCAAATTAATGAAATCCCATGACTTTATTCACTTATTTTAGCTAAGAAAACTGGTTAAGGGAAGAGTGCAAGTTCCTACGATACCAGAGCTAAAGCTATAGGAAGTTAGTAATGCAGTGGTTGAGCACTCAGCTCCAAAGGGAAAAGAGATGGTTTGAATTCACCACCCACTCTATGAAACAACGATGTGAACATTTGCTTCTACAAAGATTTAGTGTTGGAAACACTATTGTTTGTTGTTGTTGTTTTGTATCTTAGAGTCAGAACCGACCCATAGCTGACCCTCGGGTGGATCTTTAGAGTCAGTTAATTGCATAGGAGGAAACTGCCTATCCTCCCGCAAAGCAGCTGGGGGCTTTGAACCCAAAGTGCCTTCAGGATTGCAATGCAGCTTCTTGCCATTAGGCCGCCAGAGCTCCTTATAGGGCACTTGTATTCTGCCCAAGAGGGTAGTGTTATTAGTTGGCATCAATTCACTATCATTAGGTTTTCTTTTTAGTAAGACTTAAGAGAATCCACTGTTTTTTCTGTGTCTGGGAAAAGTACAATAAGTGCTTAATAAAGATTGTTTAATAATAACAGCTTCATTCAAACCTTACTCGGCACTCACTGTAAAGCAAGGCTGAAACCTTACATGTGGAAGGAAAAGGAACTAACTTAATAACCTAACAGGGGGGAAATAGAAAATCCAGAAGGGTTTAGAAATAGTATATTTAATCATGAAGCTAAGCAGAGTGTAGTGTTTGGAAGTGCTTTGAAAAACTGCCTTACTCTCATCAAAAGAAAGTAAACTGGCATCATCTTAAGGAATCATACTTCTGAATTTAGCAGAGCAAATTAATAAATACATTCTATCTACCTCTCTTTATCCTCTACTTCTCACATACTACAAGAATAGTCCCATTTTATACCTGTGGAATAGCACAGAATTTAAATATACTTTGGTTCTTGAGCCTTGAAAGGTAGGTGATGACATCTGGCATGTGGTGTAACGCATTGGTTATAAGTTCATTCAGGCACTGGACAGCCAAGTCAATATTCTCTGGTTTGGCAAAATCACCCAGCTTCTTAACGTATTTACTCCAAACCTAAGCAGAAAACAAGATTAAAACTGAAGTTAACGTGAATAAGGGAGATTTATCAATCTACAAAAAATATTAACAATTTTTTGTGAATAAACAGTTGCGCTTTTTCTAAACTACTGACATCTTTCATTAAGATCAAATCCATGCTAAGTTCCATGCAGTGGCTAACTGTGCCCAGCAGTCAGGTTCTAACCAAAACCCATATAAATTATTTATGAAAGTGCCCCTTGGAAAAATTATTGCAGCATGTAGCAACAATACTTTGATGATCTTAAGACAAAGAGGCCTCCTATCATTCAGAAGGCATTACACCTGAAAATGACAAGGTATGTAAAAAATCAGCTACCCGGCTTCAGGATCAACAGTTAAGTATTCTTTTTAAATATTTTTTTCCTCAGTTTTTTTTATTTTAATGAAAGCTTACAGAGACTTTGGATTTCCATTCAATAATTGTTGCACACTTTCCTCCCTGCCCTCCTCCCCCCACTTTGCTTTTTTCTTTGAAAAGTAAAAAAATAAAAATTAAACTCATGAAACATTATGCAAAATGGGTGACCCTGGAGGACACGATGCTGAATGAATATCTCAGTAACAAAAGAACAAATATTGCATAGGGCCACTGTTGTAAAACAGGACTGACATCAGTGTTGAGTGAAGGCAGAGAAGGAGGGGAGGAATGACGTATAGTGCACTGAAATAGGTGAGGGAGAGAATTGTTTAAAAGGGATATATGATTGGGTACTGCTGTCATGACAGAAGTCCAGAATAAAGGTTGCAAAGTGGAGTGGACCTGGGCGGAGGGATTGTTTAACAATGAAAGAGTTTTTCTTTTACTTTTCAAGAAGAGTGAATTGAAGGGGAGGGGTGGGCAGGGAGAAAAGTACAACAATGACTGACTAGAAACCCTAAGTCTACAAATTTTCATTAAAATTAATTAAAAAAAAAATCTTTCATTGCTATACAATCCCGACTCCCCCTCTGAATTTTAGTAATTTGAGCATAAAATTAACACCTTTCAATGCAACAATATAACTTGATGAGCTTGAAGATTTTAGTTATACAATTTAGCAATTTCTCAGGAAGCTAGTGAATAATACATAATATATGATACAATCTTGTTTGCAGCAAGTGAAGACAACTTGAAGCATTTCTTAAAAACACTACAGCCGCCAATATATGTTACTTCTCAACATGAAGAGAAAAAAAAATTCTCACCATTATCATGGTAGATAAGAAGAAATGGGTCGTCAATGGTTTCTTTTTACTTGTACCACTGGGAAAATGTGCTGTCAAGGACCTCTCCAAAGAGCTAAGAGCAAGGATATCAGTTTAAAGGCTAAGGTGAACCTGATCATGGTCTTTTCAACTGCTTCCTACACATCAAAAAGTCAGAAAATGAATAAGGAAGACCAAAGAAGAAGTGATATCTGTGAAGTGTAGTGTTGGTGAAGAGTACTTAATATTCTAGTATTTAACAGAATTTCAACCTATATATTTTTCTTGTTGCCTAAAGGAGCACTGGTGGCATAATGTGGGGCTGCTAATCTAAAGGTCAGCAGTTCAAATCCATCAGTTGCTCCATCTCAGAAAGATTAGGTAGCATCCCATGAAGATGCACAGCCTTGGAAATTCAGTGAGGGTCGCCAAGAGTTATAATGACTGAAGGGTAGTGGGTTTGGTTTTGGTTTATTGTCTATAACGTAGTTTGACTTCTAATTAGGTTGTTTACAATCAACAAGGTTTAATAATTCTTCAGAAGATGTTCAAAATTATTTCTCCTCAAATTCCCTAAAGCTGTTACCTCCTGAGGCCAAAACTCTCTTCCTTCTCGCTGATCTTCCAGATAATCACGAATGATGTTTGTTTTCTGCAGAAATAGGCCCATAGAGTTGGCAAGCTTTGTATCTTCACCAACTTCAGGGTCTTCTAACTGTGAAGCTGAAAACAGACGGGAAAGGCCAATTCCCACCAATCCAGCAACATAGTGACAGTACTGAAATAAAAAAATTTAAAAAAAAAAATCCTTATATATATTAAACTGTTTATGATCAGAGTTTGCATTTAATAATTTGTAATCTCTTATTTCTAAAAGGAGATTATGATAAATAAATTAGTAAAGGTTCTTACTTCCCAGAATTTTGTTGTCATTGTGTGCTGTCAAGTCCCTTCTAATACACAGCAACCCTGCAGGACAGGGTAGCCTGTCCCACAGGATTTCCTGGGTTATAATTCCTTTTTTTCTCTTGTTTTTGGAGAGAATGGGTAACAGAAATTTATTTTATATTAGATGAAAACTATGGGTAATTCACTGATAAGGACTTTTAAAAATTTTGTATTGTGTTTTGGATACAAGCTTACAGAACAAATTTACTATTCAACCACTTAAGTCTCCTCAGTGTGATGGCACTCGTCTCATTTCCTCCATGGTTTCCCATTTCCATCATTCTTATTTTCAGCCACTCCTTGACTTTTGAACTTTATTTTGGGGCAAAGTATGATCTTTAGGTCTCATATGGCTGATTGTTGTGAGGAACATGCTCCTTAAAGGTGCTACTATTCACTTTATAGGTCTATTTATCTGACTAGAAGGTGAGCCCCAGGGATGGTTTCTATTTCAGTTTGACACTTCCTCAAAAAGCTGAACATAGAAATTCCGTATGACACAGCTATTCCACTACTTGGAATATATCCTGAGAATATGAGAGCTGAGGCACAAACGGAGATTTGTACACCAGTGTTCATAACAGCATTATTCACCATCGCAAGAACATGGAAACAGCTCCCAATGTCCAACCACAAACAAATGGATTGAGAAATTATGGTTCATTCACACAATGGAATACTATGCAGCATGCAGGAGCAATGATTTTGTAAATTATTACCTAACTTGGGAGGGACTAGAGAACATTATACTGAATGAACGTACTCAGTCCCACAAGGATAAATACTGTATAAAACCATTATGAGTATAGCATCCAAGAGGGGTGAAAAAGGCTGGAAGCAAAGGGATGTGGATGTGCTGGAAGAGGGGGATATTAATCATCTGGTTGTACAATTTGCTGGGGGTGGTGGTGAGGGAAATTGAAAGAATTTGGTCGAATTTGTATTGGAAATCTGTAAATAAACTAGTAGGAAAAAAATTTTTAAAAAGTAATCTTGCATTACAATGGTCTCATAAATATATATTTGGAAATAGGAAAGAAGAGAAAAATTAATAACACATAAAATCTATTGATACATCCCAGGAACAGGTTTGAGGCCTTGAGCACCAATGAGAGTAAACCAAATGAGCTCTGGGAGGATATTAAGAAAATCGTCCATGAAGAATGCAAAAGATCATTACAAGGCTGACGAAGAAGAAAAGACCAAGATGGATGTTAGATGAGACTCTGAGTATTGCAGTAGAGCGCTGAGAAGCCAAAGCTAAAGGAAGAAATCAAGAAATCAAAGAGCTAAACAGAAAATTTCAAAAGGCAGCTTCAGATGACAAAGCAAGATACTATAATGAAATGTGCAGAGAGCTGGAATCAGAAAATCAAAAGTGCCGAACTCACTCAGCATTTCTTAAGCTGAAGGAGTTGAAAAACAAACTCAAGCCATGGGTGGCAATACTTAAAGAGAGTTTGGGTAGAACGATAAATGATGCAGGAAGTATCAAAAGAAGATGAAAGGACTACACAGAGTCACTGTATCAGAAGGAATTGGTTGACACAGAAGAATTTCATGAAATAACATAGGCTTGTCCTGGAGAAGGTGAAGCTGGAATGCTCCTTGGAGTCAAGGATTCTGAAGCTTCGTCTGACATTCTTTGGGCATGTTGCAAGGAGGGACTGGTCCTTGGAGAGGGACATCATGTTTGGGAGATTGGCGGGCCGGCGCAGGGAAGGAAGACCCTTGATGAAATGGATCGATTCTTTGAGTGGAACGGTGGGAATGAGTGTGTCTGAGGCGGCGAGGTTGGCACAGGATAGAACAGCATTTAGGGCTCTTGTACGCAGGGTTGCTATGAGTTGCAAGCGACTCGATGGCACATGACAACAACAACATCTAAAGTATACTAAGTAATCTGGACATTTACCTAAAATCTTACATTAAGTGAGATATAAGTATCTTAATATCTGATCTCTGAGATAAATTTTATCCATCGTGGATGAATTTAGTAGTAGGCTCTGTAGGGCAAGAATCATTTTTATCAGTAGAGTATTATTAAACAGCAGTTCCCTACTGGGTAGTTCTGATGGTGTGTGGTCTCTAGGGAAAATCATGCTGATAACCCATGGGCAAAGCCTCTCTGGAGATTTTAATCTGCAAGCAGCTACATGCGAAAAAAGATGGGAAATCTTCTCTTGTGAGATTTACAACCTCAGAAACCAACTGGAGGGTAAGAAATGAGTCACTTTTGACTTGATAGCAATGAGCTTGTTTTGAGTTTTAATCATCTATTAAGAGCTTAAAGCTTACCCTAAGAGCAAATCAATTGCAAAATCAGAAAACCTGAAATTGATGGGTAAATTTTTCTTATCCTGAACTTTACAATCAGTGCTATCAGCTGTCTGTCTTAGAAACCATATTTGAGACTGTCATACAGAAATGTACTAACCTTGTCCCATTCTTGCTCAGAGGTCACATGCTTATCCAAAAACTCTGCCATTCCATATCCCATCTTCTGGCAAATATCAACAATCACAGTTTGATATTTTTCAGCTAGATTTCTAAACTCAAGGGATATCTGGAATTAAGGAGAAAACATGAAATACTTACTTACTGTGTACCAGCATGACACCTATATGGGATTTATGCAGTAACTTCGAATGTTGGTTATGTTCTTTTAATAAAAAATATAAAACACAACAACTTTTATAAATGTAAAAATGAAAAGGCCTAAAAATTTCTAAAATTTCTAGACTCAAAAGAGATTTTAAAAAATAATCTCACTATCTACTCATTTTTGTAATGTACAATAAATGAAGCTGAGCATTAACGGAATTTTAGGGAGAATGCCTCATATTTCAGATTAAGTCTGAGTATATCAAAGATTCATTAATGCAAATACTTACTGAGTACTTTTGAAACTCGTGCTTTTACAGGCTTATATTCTAGTGAGTCAATCATTTACCACACTCAGTTCCCAAATATGTGAATCATAAAGATTCAGTATCTCAAACTACAGACTACTTTTTAATTCTTTTAGCAGATTATACAAGGTATCTTAGGATTCAAACAAGTATTTATAGGCTATCAACATAAAACACAAAAATATCATGAAATCTCTCAAATAAAACACTATAAAATGTTAACAGAACCAGCACATAATACTGAAAACTGTGAAGCGATTGTAAAAGATCAATAATGTGAAGTTTACTTAGTCTTTGCTTACAGAAACAGCTTAGACAAACCTTTTCAGGAAACACCTAAATTTAAGAACCAAAGAGATGTCAAGTTAGTTATAGAGTACCATAGAGACTCAGAAGCCTGAGATATTTTAGGATTACTTTGCTAATCGTAACTATCAGCAAAAAGAAAACCATAAACTCAATCCAGTCTTTCTAGAATTTTTCAAAGACAGTTTTCAAGTCAAAAACTGGTTTGTTGGACTGAAACAAACTATGAACTCACTGAAAAGCTACGTGAACTCCCAAATTCTCCTAGAACCTTATTCCTACAACAACAGATGCTAGGCTAGGACAGTTTTATTTATGAGCAGAAAGGTCAATAAAAGCCTCTTTTTATTTTATTTAGGAGGAGTTGGCCTCTTAAAAGCAAATACTCCAAAATGAATTTTCATTTCTGTTGTTAACTATTCCACTTCAAATACTTTTTGATACTTACTATATTAACTATGAAATGCAAAAAAATTAAATTACAAATGCAAGAAAGAGTAAAAGTGAAGAGCTCTGTTTTTCCCAGAAGCATGAAGGAAAGAGGATGCAATATACAGAGCTGTTTGTTGTGCACTGCCTTTAACTTGATCCATATCAATCTCAATTTCATATGGAGCAATAATAACAAACTCTTCTAGATGAAATGAGCCTTCCACTGATGTTTCTCCAAGTCCTCTCTCCAAGTTAATTCCATTCCTTAACTACAGATTTCTAGATCCTTTTGTCACTCTCAGGTGACTTCAAGAACATGAAGGAAGGATAGCTAAATGAATCCACTGGTATAATGAAAAAAGCCCACCAACCAGGTAGTTGTTATGTGCCAGCGAGTCGCTTGCGACTCATAGTGACCCTATGTACAAGAGCTCTATACGTTCTTCTATCCTGTGCCAACCTAGCCATCTCAAATGCACTTATTCCCACCTCTCCAGTCACAGAATCGATCCATCTGATCAAAGGTCTTCCTCTCCTCTGCCACCCCTCCACTCTACCAAACATGATGTCCCTCTCCAAGG